TTCAGTGGCTGGTCACAGCCTGTTTCTTGCCTGAGAAAACTCTAGAATCAACTCCTTCGCATCCATGTTTCTCACCCCACTTCACAAATCTGTTCCCCTGTCTTTGTGCTAAACCAGAAGCCCAGAGCACTTGACCTTGACAAGGCCCAGCCCACATTTCCCAGGTCCCCGCTCGCCAGCCTCGCTTGTGTGAACTTGCCTTTTAATTGCTTTCAGCCCTACGGACTTTGAACAACTTTTTCTACCCTTCAGCTCAGCCCTGATTCACTCAGTTTCTGTGTGCAATTTAGTCCCTTCTCATTAGACCCAACTTCATTATGTTATCAGTAAAACAAGCCAAAAAGAATCTATGAAACAACTTTTTAAGTACCATTGCATTTCTGCCCGGAGGGGTATTAAACAATGAAATTATGCATCCGATCGTACCTGTCTCAGAAAGCAAAGCTGGCCTGCATTGTCTCTTTATTTCCCCAGATTGTTTACCCTCCATCAGGGAGGTACAGGGGAGGCTGCTCTAGGTTCCTGTGGACGGTAAGTAGAGTCTCAGGCAGTGTCTCCCACTTGCTCGGTGACCACTGCTAACTTCAGCAGGTGTTAGGACTGGTTCCCAGGGTGATCTCTCCCTTCCTCCTTCCCCCTCCTCCCTCCCCTCCTCCCTTTACTCCCCATGGCTGCTGATTCTAAGGTCTGATCTGAGCCAAGAGTGCAGCCTCCTATTTGTCATTCTTGGATATAAGACCCAAAATGCCTCTGGACCCCCCCAACTCCAGTTCTCTAAATGGCCACTGCTACTAATCCCAGGGAACACATCTTTTTGGCACGTTTTCTTCAGACAATTTCTGTCACTTCCTGTCTGCCATTTATCCAGGGCCCCATTGCCGGCCTGCGCATTACCTTTGTTGGGTCAGAGTCTGCACTGCTGAGCCTCCCTCTCCTCAGCTCCTTGACCAAGGACCCCGCTCTGGTCGTAGATGCCCTCTGAAACACCAGTGTGGCCACCCTTCCAGAAGCCACAGGTCTCTCTCATCATCCAAGAGTTCTCTTGGGTCCCTCAGCGAGTAGCTGTCATTCCAGGACTCAGGAACAGGGCAACTATACAATAGCAGACTCCATTGTGAGAGCGGCAGTATCTCTAAACAGAGACAAGTGGCTCACGTCTGTCTCAAGCATGTTACGACGTGTCTGCGCTGTAGACCATGCCAGACGCACGTATGCACATGCTGACACCTTGCCGTCGGCAGCCTCGCTCAGAGGACTGGGTTTGGGAGCTGCTGTCGTGCCTTAAGATGTGATGGCAGAGTGTCCAAGTGGTTGCAGGACATAGAAGGTCTTCCTTCTGCCATCAAGATACCTAAGATCAGCCGGGCACCGGTGGCTCACCCCTGTAATCCTAGCTACTCAGGATGCTGAGATCTCAGGATCGCGGTTCAAAGCCACCCCGGGCAGGAAAGACCGTGAGACTCTTATCTCCAATAAACCACTAGAAAACCGGAAGTGGCGCTGTAGCTCAAGTGGTAGAGCGCTCGCCTTAGCTGAAGAGCTGAGGGACAGTGCCCAGGCCCAGAGTTCAAGCCCCACAACCAACAACAACAACAACAAAAAAAGATACCTAAGATCGGCATGGCTCTATCCAATTGTCAGGCTGAGCATGACTCTGACACATCTATACTCATCTTTTTGAAAGAAATGTCCTTTATTTAAAAAACAATGACTTGATGGAATCCTAGAGTCTCAGGGTGATATTCACAACATGCATATAATGTATTCTGATCAAATTCATCATATCCAGGTTATTCTTTCTTTACCCCAGTCCTTCCTTCCCCTCCTTCCTAATGTCTTCAAGTGGATTTCACTATGCTATTTCATAAATATATATTTATATGTGAAATTATTATATATTCATATATTTCATATATTATATATTTAATAGACTATGTATTTGTATATTTATATATTTAATGTATATATAAACACATGGTTAAATATATTTTATATATAATGTAATTCTATATATAATTTTGTAATCCATATATTATATATATAATGTAATAATCATGCCTCTCACCATCTCCTTCCCCCCCTTCCCACCTGTTAATCTTCCCCATGATCATGACATCTTTGGGGGAAGTTCAAGATTCCATACATGAACAAAAACATATTTGTCTGCCTGAGTTTGGCTTATTTTACTTAACATGATCATCTCCAGTTCCCTCCATTTTCCTACAAATGCCATCATTACATTCTTCCTTCAGGCTGCATAATACTCCGCTGTACATGTGTGCTATGCTTTCTTTAATCGTCTGTTGTGGAGCACTGATGCTGCTTCTATATCTTAGCTGTTGTGAGGTGTTCAGCTGTGGTCACAGGTGTGCAAGCATCTCTCCTTAGCTATGTGCTGGAGTGGCCTAGCAGGATTATGTGGTAGTTCTATGTTTTTCTTTTCTTTTTGTCAGTCATGGGGCTCGAACTCAGGGTCTGGGCACTGTCCCTGAGCTTTTATGCTCAAGGCTTAGTGCTCTACCATTTTGAGCCACAGCGCCACTTTCAGTTTTATGGTAGTTAATTGGAGATAAGAATCTCACAGACTTTCCTGCCTGGGCTGGCTTTGAACCAGGATATTCAGATCTCAACCTCCTGAGTAGCTAGGATTATAGGCGTGAGCCCGGGCACCCTGTTTGGTGGTTCTATTTTTAGTAATAAATTCCCTTTAACCTGACACCGTGCTATGTTGAATGATTCTCACTCAGCACAATTTCCTTTGCACCTGAGCTAAATCCACAGACCCGTTCTGGCCTTTCGACCATGAGCCGAGTAGAGTCGTTGACTTCTGAGTCCCTGCAGTAGCCATCTTGAAAGCTGAGTCACTTCCTTGAGAAATTGTCTGGTCTTGCACATTCTTCCCGGGTTGATGAAGTGTGGGGCTGCGCTTCCCAACATGGCCATACACTAGGCAAAGAGTAGAGCAGAGACACTCAAAGAAAAAATAGCATCTTGCTCACTTTGCTCTGGCTGGCCTCCAGTTCACAATCCTCCTGCCTCTGCCTCACAAGCAGCTGGGATCACGATTGTGAACCACCACACATGCTGGTGGGTGACGTTTTCTGAACCCGGCTCCCAAGTCAGCAGATACAGATGGAGGAGGTGAAGGGTAGTGCTGTCCTAATGCATCAACAGTCTCTATATGAAGGAAAGTCATTTCCATCTGTGACTATTTTTAAAAGAGTAAGGGGTGGAACTCCTGAATGTCAGATAGCCATTCTTTTGAACCAAGCCAGAATATTTAAGCTTTTACTAGGTAAACTGACTGTAGGCAGACCGCGTTTAATTAAACAAAATATTTGGGTGTGGTATAAAAAAAAAAGAACTGACGGCAGACTACTGCCGAGTTATGGCAGAGTTGCTTTGGGGATGGGCCAGCCGCAGATCCTTTCTTCTAATGTATTTGTTGTTTGTTACTCAGGTATCTCAAGAGAAAACTGTGTTTGTACACTTTATACATTTTATGTAAAGACTGCTTTGAGAATTCCTGTGGTTAACTGACGGCCAATGTTCCTCTCCAATATCAGAATAATGCGCTTTGTATCGAGAAGTATAGATTCCGTTTAATTGTACAGATCTTTTCTCTCCCTCCTGGGGTCTCGAATAATTGCACCATGGCCAGCCATGAATCAATCCTCCCTCCTACACCCACCTCCCCCATGGGTGGGATTATAAACAGGGACCTCCACCCCCAGCTAACTTACTGAGGTAAGGTCTTACTACCTTATTTTGTCCAGGCTGACCTCAAACCACAGTCCTCCTGAGCTCTGTTTCCCAAGTAGCCGAGATTACAGGCATGCACCACCACACTCTGACATACTTTTCATTTAAAAAAAAATCTATGCTTGCTGGGTACCAGTGGCTCATGCTTGTAATCCTAGCTGCTCAGGAGGCTGAAATCTGAGGCTCATGGTTCAAAGTCAGCCCAGACAGGGAAGTTCGTGAGACTCTTATCTCCAGTTAAACCATCAGAAAACCAGAAGTGGCACTGTGGCTCAAGTGGTGGAGCACTATCCTTGAGCCGAACAGCTCGGGGACAGTGCCCAGGCCCAGAGTTCAAGCCCCATGAACAACCAAAAAAAAAAAAAAATCTACTCTTGAGTAGACAATCATTCTTTAGCGAACACTTAATATTTTTACAACTTGAGCTATGTTTTGGCCCTTATGGGTTTCATGTTGAAGAAAGCCTATCTTACATTGTTAAAAATAAAGGATAGGATTATGAGAAGCAGGTGCTAATCTAATCCACCTAAAATACCTTTGTTTCCCACATCAAGCCAGTATCCACCCAATCTCTTCATTTCAATAACATTGAAGGTTCAGCCCCAGAGCGCCTTCTCTGAAATATCACAAATATCATACACACACACACAATGAGCCAAAGAAACCCTAAAGCACAAACACTTTTTCTATGGTTTCAAAACATGACAATAAACCAGGCCTTGGTGGACTCATACCTATAATCCTAGCTACTCGGGAGGCTGAGTTTTGAGGATCACAATTCAAGGCCAGCCCGAGCAGAAAAGCTCTCTGAGATTCCCTCTCCCATTAACCAGCCCAAAAAGCAGTGAGAAGAGGAAAATTCAGTACGACTGGAGTTCCTTAATGTGAATAAGGAAACTGAAAGGGAGCCAAGTGGGAGGAGGCACTGTACTAGGAATAAACCAGAGATAGAATTAGGGTCCCCCGTGGGCCAGCCATATTTCTGCTTTGCCCCGACTGCCCCAACGGGGCCGTCAATGCTTCTGCTTGTCACAGCGTCGGTGTTGCGTGTGGCTTGTGTGCTGCTCAGTGTCTCCGCCTGGAACTGTGGCAGATGGGTTAGGACTTAGCTATGACTCAGATATTGGGCCTTGCGTGGAGAGCCCTGGGCCTCACCTGCTGCCCTTCTCCATACCCACAGCGACCTCCTGCAGCCTTGTACCAACCAACCCATGCTGTCTAACCGTGTCTGTCTCCAGGCCTTCAGACCTGCTTCTGGAATGACCGTCTCTGTGGACTCATCCTGGTGGCGGTGGCGGTGGCGGTGGCAAGGCCGGCCTGGCTTCCTCCAGTCTCCATCAGAGACCACGCCGCTGCTGGTGTCAGAGCACAGGCAGAGCTACAGCCTGACCGGGCAGCGGGTGGTGTTCCCCAACAACAGCTTGTGTCACCGGGACTGGGAGAGAGCCTGCAGGAGCTACTCCAGCAACAGCATCCGCACAACCAAATACACCCCTCTCACCTTCCTGCCCCGGTCTCTGTGGGAGCAGTTTCACAGGTTCGTAGCCCTGGTCCTGACAAAGAACAGCTCCAGCCACCGGAGGCCTGTTCCCTTTGGGCCATATTGCCTCTGCATACACCCAAGATGTGATTCACTCATTTGTGTATTCAATCAGTAAATATCAGCTTGTGCGTTGGATGGTGGAGGACCAAAGAAACTCATTGAGTGTTTTCTAGCCAAAGAGACAGACATTATTTTTAAATTACAGCAACGCTTACCAAAGTATAAACACGGTAAGTCCTGCCAAGGAGAGGTTGTATGAGGATTTACAGGGAAGGACTGGGCAGAGCTGAAGAGGTCAGATAAGACTTCTTTGAGGTAATGATTGAAATATAAGCTGGAAAGAATAGAAAGTCTTCGCTGAGTGAAAAGGAGAAGCAAAATGGCAGGGAAGGCAGGCAGGTGAAAATGGCAGCAGACAGGCTTGTGTGTTCAAGACTCTGACTTCAAGCCTCAGTACTGGCATAAAATTAAAACTTATCAAGTTTTATAGTTAATATTGAGCAACTACTAGGCTTCAGAACTATCTAATAAATACCTAACTAATATAATTTAATATTAACAAATATATATATATATATATATATAATTTTATGAGTCCTATCAATGAACTATGTCCACTTGGCACAAGAGCAAAACAGTCCAGGAAGCCCATCAAAGACACAGATTAAATCCAGTTCCAGCTGAACGCCGATGGCTCACACCTGTAATGCTAGCTACTCAATAGGCTGAGATCTGAGGATTGCAGTTTGAAGCCAGCTTGGGCAGGGAAAATACCTGATTAATCGCCAAAAAGTCAGAAGTGGAGCTGTGGCTCAAATGATAGAATGCTAGCAGCATTGACCACAAAAAAAAAAAAAAAAAAAAAAGCTCAGGGATAACACCCAGGCCCTGAGTTCAAGCCCCAGGACTGGGACCCAAAACCAAAACACATTTTAACAACCCAATTATGTAATACCAGAGATAAAATGGAATGGCATCTCCGTTGGTTAAAGAACCAACGGGAGGGAGGACAGAGGGAGTCCAGCACCTGTTTCCTCTCCATGATTCTCACACCTTGCTCATCCCTCCCCCACCCCAACCCCCCGCAGATGGGCAAACCTCTACTTCCTGTTGCTAGTGGTCCTGAACTGGATGCCCGCCATGGAGGTCTTCCACAGGGAAATCACCATGCTACCACTAGCCATTGTCTTGTCCATCATCATGGTCAAGGACGGCGTGGAGGACTTCAAGAGGCACCGCTTCGACAGAGAAATAAACTGTTCCAATACCCGGATCTATAAAAGGTAGGTGCTAGGTTCCTCTTGGGATCAAGTCAGAGCCTTGAGCTCTGTATTGTTCTCAGGTATACTGAATTCTGGGATTCTTCGTTGGGAGATGATTTTGATGACTCAGGGCATGCTTGGTACTATGTATTTTTCTCGTCATCCTGGTGGAGCGGTGCCCCTGGTATGTGGGGGATGACCGCCAGGCATCTTTGTGGGCACACGTCCATCCACACCGACAGACGCCACGTTACAGCGAGGAATCGCTATGTCATCAAAAATGTCAAGAGCGCTAAAGTTGGAAACCTTGGTTTAACCTAGAAAAACGCTCCTTTCCTCCATCACAAGGGTGTTCAACCCTGAACATCGCTAGATCTACCTAACCCCAGTGACTCACGCCTGTCATCCTGGCTACTCAGGAGGCTAAGGATCCCAGTTCAAAGCCAACCCAGGGAGGAAAGTCTGTTAGACACTTATCTCCAGTTCACCACCAAAACAAAGCCAAAAGTGGAGCTGAGGCTGAGTGGTAGAGCACTAGCCTTGAATGAAAAAGCAGGACATTGCCCAGACCCTGACTTCAAGCCCAAAGGAAGTAGATTGAAATTTAATTGTAATTCCTGAAACTTCCAGAATTGAACACTAGGATGATCAGGTCAACTCAGGAGATTAATTTCAGGAGACTCTCTCTGGAGGGTCTCAGACAATGTCCCTTCAACATGAAAAGCGGTGCCATATTGAGTACCTCAAGTCTCTTGGGTGGGAAAAAACTTCTTCCTTTTGGAACTTAACCGGGTAGGTTTTAGGACCCAGAGTTGGTGCACCTGTCCCTGGCTGCCAGGAGATGGAAAACAGAAGACACCTGTGATTGATGTCAGCATTCCAACAGGTGGAGTCTAGAACAAATAGGAGGAAGTGGCCAGGTAAATACACAGCCCTTCCCTGCAAGTCCTGCTGCTGTCTGCTGGCCTTTTGTTTTTAATTTTCCTTTTGTAAAAGGGAGAGAGAGAAAGAGAGAGAGAGAGAGAGGAAGAGGAAGAGGAAGAGAGAAGAGAAAAGAGAGGGAGAGAAGAGAAAGAAAGAAAGAAAACTTCCTGGCAAAGAAGGCAAGCAAGAGATGAGGGTTGAATTATGAAAAGTGCAGAGGCAGGATTGAGCAGAGATGAGGAAGGAGAGGAGGAAGAAGCGGAAGAGGAAAGAGGACAGGAAACGGCTGGTCGTCTCCAACCTGCCTTTTGAAGGCCAACCCCACAAAGACAACCCCAACCACCATTACTGCGGGAACCAGATTAAGACCAGCAAATACACCGTGCTGTCCTTCGTGCCCAAAAACCTCTTCGAGCAGCTGCACCGCTTCGCCAATCTCTATTTCGTGGCCGTGGTGATTCTGAATTTCATCCCCGTGGTGAACGCCTTCCAGCCCGGGGTGAGCGTCGTCCCCGTCTGTGTCATTCTGGTGGTCACGGCCATCAAGGACGCGTGGGAAGACTTCCGCAGGTACAAAGCGGACAAAGTCATCAATAACCGGGAATGCCTGGCCTTCAGCAGGTAAGGGCAGCAAGGCCTTGCCCAGGCCCGCCAGCCAATCTGGAGGAGGGAGCGTGGAGACCCAGAGGGTCATTTCCAGCATCAGTGTTCAGTTCTCTCGAGAGCCATTACAGTTGAAAAGCCAAAGAGAAAGAAGATGGGGGTCCCTCTTTTAAAACCAGAAGGTCTTCGGTAGGAAATGATCTTGGCATTGGTTTTAGGGGAACAGCGGGGAGGGGATGGCATTATATTAGAAAAGCAGGATCTTGCCCGAGTCCATCATTAGCTCCCCTCTCATGACTTTTCTTTGTGGGGAGTAGGGGGCAGGGAAGCGACCTCTCTTAGTCTCTTCTTCTTGTCTAAGTTGGGAGCCATTCATTCCTGCAGTGTTCCTGGGAATGGTCATTCTTGGGGGGGTGGGGGGGGAATGCTTAGCCTGTGTGTGGCGTATAATGGATGGCCAGGAAATGCAAGCTGCAAGGACGTGTGCAATATATAAAGAAAAATGCCTGGAAATCCTCCAGCATTCATACCATCCTTGAGGACAATTTCTGATGCTGTTCTCTAACAAAACGAATAGTGTGGCCAACCACTTGCACAGTATTCAATATCCTTCCTGACACACGGTTGTTCATTGCTCAAACGGAGTTGTTAGGGGGTCTGTTCTCACTCTCCAGGGGAAAAAGGCCCAACTCCCTGGGACCCTACCGTGACACCCACCTAAGCTCCCTTAGGGACAGAAGGAAACAGCTTGTCCCTCCAACTGAAGGACTTTCGTTTCTTCTTTTCCTGGCTAGATCGAATTATCGTGACGTTTGGGAGTACACTGGCTAGCTTAGCTACTGAGATTTTGATTTTTTTTTCTTTTCCTCCGCCTTGAGTGGAGGTATTCTAAAGAGAGGAAGACATGTTTGCTTTCCCTGCAAGAGCCAGTCATTGAGGAAGTGTTGTTTTCCTCCAGGCACCCAAGCCATTCGTCACTTCTGATTTTCCAAACTTTTTCTCCTTTGTGGTTAGTACAGCCAGGAATCAGGGTTTGGGATGGAAGCGGGGGGGGGGGGGGGTGTACACATTGGCCATTGTGAACTCTGGCCTGGCCTGTCTAGACACCCCAACATAATAATATCTTCTTAGTGCTGGTCTTAGAGTTAGTTGATCACCAAGGCCAGCTTTCTCCTGTCCTGTTCTCAAAAGACTGTGGAGAACACAGGAAAACCAAGATAATCATTTAGGCAGTAGGGTTGGGGACATAATTCCAGCAGCACGCTGGGATTCCCCAAAAGTTATTCAACAAAATTCACTTTGTGAAAAGACATTCGTGGCCAGAAATTTGTATGCTATATGTCATGACTCAGTGGGCCATGAAGGACTGAGAAAAGACATGTGTTTATCTTGGATTAGGCTGGTGTTGCTCTAGATTTGCTGGACCTTAACAGTACTTTTAATAGCTAAGTTGTGGAAACTTCTTTTTTTTCCATTACAGTTAAGTAGTAAGAGTATGGGGGACAGATAAACTAATTAAATGAAATGGACTAAACCGTTTTCTGAAGCACTCTGACTCATATTCATACCAACCACGGGCGTTTGTGTGTGGTTCTGACAGGAAGAAGGGATTGTGGGGAGACCATGCCCCCCAGTAGGCAGGACTGGCCATTCATTCAGCCTGGATTGTTACTATATGGAAATAAGCCTGGTGTCTGTTACCAGACTGTCTGAGTTTTATTAGAGGAGCCAGAAACTGATGTCTCTATTTGAAATAACTTGACTTTTTTTTCAATGTTGCTAACTAATAACAAATAGGCCTAATACCTCAGGCCTATTGGATGGGCTCTAAATCTCTGTCTGGCCTGTGATTCCCTCCTCCTCATTTTGCTTTAGAATAGCTTGGGAATCTGACGTCTCTACACAAGGTGAAGTAGGTTCTGCTGAGATTCCTCCTCTAGGAGAAAGGGAGAGAGGGATATAATCTTAAGCTGAGTGTGCAGCCAGTGGCCTATCCTCCAGATCTACACCCCCCCCCCCTGTCACTAGCCCAGGAATGTCAGCTAAATCTCCAGGTCTGAGTTTCCACTTCTGACTTGACCTGAGATGGACAGGCTCTCTCAGCCTGAGTCAGGCAGCATTCTAGATCCAGACTTGGCAACCCGCTCTTCATTCAACCCCTGTGCCTGTATCATCCTAACCCTCGTGAAACCTTGCCTCTTGGCGACAAAGAGGCTGAAACAGAGCCAGCCCCTGCAACTGCGTGGAGTAACCCCCAAGAGGGAAAAGAAAGATCTGATGACAAGACTCTCGAAAGTTAGGAAGCTTCCTCCTAACTCCTCTCGTGTCTCAGCGGGTCCCAGTGGGTGACATTTCCACCCTGACTCATTCTCTGGGGACAGGAGATGGGGTTTTCCCACAGAGCCCAGCAGGAAGTCAGGGTCTCCATGGGTATGTACGTTTATTAGACAAAAGCCAAAGGAAAAAGTGGAAACTAATCTCCAAGAGCAGAGGAAACAGATGTGGTGGCAGATGTGATGGTAGAGACCACCACCACATCCTCATGATTATCACTTAAAATATTTGGGGGGGGCCTCTATGTAAATTGCTTCCCACAGATCAGCAGGCAGGCAGATGCCCAGCTCAGAACATTCTGTACCTACTGTCCCTCGAGCTCTGACTTTGAAGTCGACCAGTCCTCTGAGAGCCCCAGAGAGAGCCAGAAATAGTTCATCTATTTTCATTATTATCTTAAAAGAGGAGCGAAACAGCCCGGTATCATTTTGACCAAATATCAGTGCCACACCAGGAGACACAAGGCCAAGATTGGAGAAAATGCCTGCTCCTTGTGAGAAGCAATGCCAAAGCGCTCCAGTCCCAACTCCACACGCTTCCTCCTACTTGAGAAAATGATGCCTTTTTCTTGTTTCAGTTTTGGGAGAAGACACAACCACAGAATTTTGCTCACTACACAGTCCCACGCGTCATTCAGTCCAGACTCGTTTCTACTGTGGGGGAAAAAAAAAGTCTTTTTGCTTTTCTTTTTTTTTTGCAAGCAGCAAGAAAGCCTTGTTAACAGCATTACAATCCTGTTACGGCATTTTCTTTTAATATGGCAGCTGTGCTTGTGGTCTAAAGGTGACCCATTAATCAGATCTATGGGATGACTACTAGGAGAGATTAGCTTCAAAATTGTATTAGCTTAGCTTCTCCCAGGGCTCCATTTAATGAATCTACAAACCCTACCCAGCAAGAGATTTGAATTTCTCCAGCTAGCTTAGTAAATGTGTATTTGTATTCAGAAAGCATGGCTGGCAGAAGGAAGAATGTGATTGGAGGCAAATCCAGGGTGGGTTTTGGCTTTTTTTTTTGGTCCTTGTGTTGAAATCCTTCCCTTAGTCATCCAGTTGGTGTGTGGCCGCCATCTTGGTAGTGTGTGGCCGCCATCTTGGTAGTGTGCGGCCGCCATCTTGGCAGTGTACACTCAAGGCCTCACAGTTCAAGACTCATCCACA